AAATTGAGCACGTCCTTCCGGTGATGTCGGCTTTAATAGATGGGCAGACGTATAGACGAAGATTGCACGTTGGGATGAGCGAAGATTGCACGTTGGGATGAGCGGATTTCAGGCTCAAAACTTCGGTTTTTTGCTTTGCCCTAAATTTTCGCATGTTTTCTGCACGTACTATTTTGTTCTTTAACTCTTTTTTCTTCAAATCAGTATCATGCCTTAATTTTTTTATTTCCTTCTCAATCCCGTCTTTTCCAAGTCCTGCATCTCGCTTTCTTACGGTAGCATTTAATTCGGCTTCAAGTACTGAAATTTCAGATTTTAAAGCATTCTGTTTTGGTGTCGGAGCTGTTGTAGATACAGATGAAGAAGGTATTGAAACAGAAGATTGAACGGAAAGTTCATTGCTACTGTAGGCTAGAAAAATAATGTAACCAGTATTATATCACTACCCATAAAATGAAAAAATCAAAATCTAAGCTACGAAAGTTAGAGAAAAAATATACATCGACATTGGCAGAGCAGAAAGCGGTTGGTTATACCTTTCCGAGATATAGAAACCGACTCTGTAGTGTTATTATTGACATCTTCGGTGCTGGGAAGCATTTTGAGATCACCTTGCGTGGTTGAAGCTTTTCGTGCAGGTAGCTACATTCACCAAATACAAAAAAGAGACACACATCACCAATGTTCAAACATTCAAATAATATAAATCATTTAAAACATTCAACAAAATACGCTCAGAATATTCACCTTTACGAAGAAATTGAGGAGACGAGCATTTTTCTTAGTCGCAATCTGACAAAGTTCTTCGATTTTTAACTGTGTGAGACGCTCCAGCTCCTTTGGGTTGTTTTTGTACTCATCTCTCAAAGGCACCCAAAATTCATTCGTCTTTTTCTGTATTGTCTGCATTGACAAGGAATCCTTGTGACATTTAATAAACGCATTGTACAGCCGATCGTACAACGACATTTAATGATATTTAATAATAGTTTTAGAAGGACCAAGACCTGCTTGCTTTAAAAAGCATAAAAGTGTTACTTTTGCTATTTTGTAGTCAGCAATTCAAACCAAGGCGAATTTATACAAGGTGGTGTTGTTTAATCAGCTGATTTCTTCGCCTTACATGTATTTTACTTTTGATTTTACTGATTTCACAGCACAGTACACGTTAACTTTGGGGCGAATTCAGATTTGACATAACACCCGCAATACAAAATACATGTGGTTGTTGTTGTTTATTCTTGCTACCACCTTGTATAAATTCGCCTTGAATTCAAATGCTGCTAAGTATCAGTTTTCAATCAGCTGACGTCTGTTCGTCAGTGTTGCCATCTGTGGGTTTAAAAAGCGACAAACACTGCGCGCCATATTTGAATGTAGCTCGAAAAAAACGCTAGATTTTCTTAGTGGATATTGACTACGTGATAAAAACCTAAGCCCCCCCCGCCCCCCACTGTGACCAAGTGTGGTATTTGGAAGATCCCCCTCCCCCCCCCTGAACGGGTCACGTAGTATGGGTACGTTCCCTAATAATTACATACATCTAATTGGAAAAAATAATTCCTTTTAACAGTATCGTTAGTTATTGACTTTATACCACGTGTTTTCGTTTGAAATTCTCGCCTGAATTTCTTTGTACAGAAATGGAGTAGTACGAATATTTTGTCTTTTTGATCCGGTTTATTATTTCTGCCTGCACCTTTTCACCACTAAAAGTTATTATTTCCTAGCAGGTTATTTATAAATAATTTAAGTGCCCTCGTCCCTTATTTCCGTATTCCTTGATATATCCAGAGGTCATTCTGAGCTATTAATTCCAGCGTCCCACGGAAATTTCCATTATTGGGCGAATCGAGAATCCCACCAGCGCCAGAAGAAGCTAAGCTAGGTTCCGCAAGATGTATTGATGGTGCTGACGAATCTTTTTAATACCCAGCGATCTTTTCTGTAATCTATGAAAAATTATTTTTTTGTTCTTTCGTCATCACATGTGGGGGCCCTGGACCGCGGCCCCGTTGGCCCTGACCATACATATGTCCTGTTTTATTATTTATACAGCAAACATGTACATAGACACGCTGCTTGTTTGTGACTGTGCCTCACCCATTTCCACCTGAAGCCATGTCATACTCATACATGCATACATGCCACTATTCCCCATCTACTCATACGCACATACATATGTATATATGGATCCATGTATGCATTCCCAGCTTTTTGAGCCATGAGCTTGCACTCTCACCTAGTTTCCATTTCCTACTCGTATTTGCCATCGATCGTTTCATCCCATTTGGTTGCGTTACGTGTAATTGGATTACTCTATGCGTGTATGTGCGTTATTTTCGTGTTTTCCACTATTTATTCCCCGTTTGAGGATACAGGTAGACAAATTTCCAACTAGATTTCGTTTGACATAATTTTTTCCTATTCGCTGTGTGTGTTTTTAAATATTTGTTGGGGTATCCTTTCTGTATGTATTCTAGCAGATGGATGGGACATTTGCAGTCAATTGTGTCAATGCTTAGTTTGATTTTGTGAAAGCGCTCAATAAACGATTTTGACATACTTATTTGGATTTTTATTCCATTTTATTTAGTCGAATGAATGCGTTTTTTGTTTAGTAAGTTTGCAAGCAAAGGAGGGAAATCCACTGGTGGGATGGTAGGGAAATAAAGGCTTTTGAAATTTTATGCGAAGAAATTTTTCGCTACTTGACGAGTTCCACTCCTAGTGCATAACTTGTCCTTGGATATATTTATAAAGCGACTCTACACCCTCTCAACACCTCTGAAACTTAGGTGCACATCTTTTTAGCAAAGGGTAGCTCTTTGTCCTGACGCAAAGCTCGGTAGTGCATCCTCGTTGAACTCTGCTAAGCACACAACTGCCAACTCCCACGTCCGAGTTTTGATATTCGACAGGGGTACTTGCCAGCTAAGGGAAGTAGTCGGCATAATCCTTCGCCCCCTTAGCTCCATCGACTTTCTTTATTGAATACCGTTTGTAGAGTTATAGGCTTTACGAGATTTCGCGTAGCCGTCACTGCGGCTATACATTCAAAAACGACCCAGCCTGATCGGAGGGTGAACTCACTAAAACTGGGCTTCACAAAGCCCTTTCGCTTTTAGAGGTCAGCAGCTTGAAGTATCCACAGCTTCTTAAGGTCCAATACTAAGTGTGTTTCCAGAGCCCATATGACTGGTTAGCGAAGGTCGCTTTTGTTATTGCTGCAAGTCGGTCCAGTGTTCGCTCTCTTGTCAGCAGGATTTTATTTCCTTTTCAGAAAGTTTTGGGCCTCGAACGCAGTTCAATTTACTGTGTGATGTTTTTCAATATTTGATTTCCCTTTTCATCGCCCCCCCCCCCCCCCCCGCATAAGGACGCCAGTTCGAGTTTGCCTCTAGCCATGGGTAGCAAGGATAACTTTCTGGCCTCCGTGTTGCTGCTTCCTCTCAAAATAAAGTATTTAAAGGGTTCCTTTCCCAGAAAGTCACTTTTAAGGAGTACGCACCTTCTCAGGTTGAGATGAGGTAGGAGATTCCCTTCATCTGTGGCTGTCTGTGCGTCATCGCCCTTTAGAAACAAAGTCCAGGTTTACCATCGCAACGCCCAGATTCCCTAGATCGCCTTGCGAGCTTGTTTGGCACGAATGTACCTTTGTCCATTGCAATGGGGTCAGATTTTGGCTCAACACTTTTACCGTTTGGATTTGCATCCATTGCGTCTACGAGTCCTTTGGTCATCGAGTGCTCCTGTAAATACGCCAACTGTTCTACAAGAATCCCACCAGTAATGGGGGAAGAAAGTGGTAGTGCGGGGCAGAGCTTTTTTGCACTTTTTCGCAATTTTTCCCAGCGAATCTTTAAGAAGAGTCGATTTTTTTTTGTAAATTTCGAGGTTGTTTTCGGGACCGCTTGGAATTTTTCGAGATCCTTCGGATTTTGTCGGAAAGTTTTAGGGGTTTTCGGGATTTTTCGGTAACTTTGGAATTTTTTCGTCACCCTTTAGTATATTATATGCGATGTAGGATTATATGCGAATAGATATAAAAATTTTTGAAATGTTTTTCAAGATTTCGCGAAATTGCAGGAAGGTCTTCGAATAGAGACAAGATTTCATTATCAGCCGTTAAGTGCCTGGCCCTTATAACAAAGGTTCACTAACAAAATGCCCAAATCGTAGTAGTGCAGCCATAATCTGATCCAAAATTTAATCAAGCATATGAAAGCCCGACAGCAAAAGTTACCCCTGCAATCGAGTCTTAAACTTATGACAGCTCCCCATAGCTTTCGTACAAAATATCCTTCAAGTCACAGCAGGAAAGGAAATTTTTCTTGCGGGCGACAAAAAGTTACCAAAAACTTAACATAACTTATTTTCATCTAAATCTACACAGATTTACGCTTATCGAATAAAACTCAAACGAGAGTTTCAAATTTTGTTAGATACACTAATACGAATACATTCAAAGTGCCAATGCAGTGTTAAATATTTTATTGCTTATCCTGTTTTGCTTTGCGCTCAACAACTTTGCCACGCTACCTCTTTCCCAGTATTGCATACATGGATTTGTCGACTTGTTTGTTTGTTTGTTTGTTGGCATCGTTGAAATCGAGTTACAGTCCTAAAATCATGAATTATTCGTTATATATTGAACGTCTTGCAAATTCCACTGTAAGCGTTCGAAAGTGACAAGTTTACCGAAAAGTGAAACCTCTGCTGAGGTGTCAGTGAGTGGAAAGTGAGAATAAAATCACAAAAACACATACACAGGCAGAGAGTTAAAAACAAGAACTGCTACGACAAATAAAAAAAAAAAATGGGAAGGTTAAAATGCATGCTATGGGAGGGAGTTACACAGATGTAAGGATGCCAAAAGATGGAGATTTTGGCAAGTCAAATTTGAAAAGAGAGACGAAAGCAGAAACCTTTATGTTTGTAAGAATATTAGGAGTGGAGTTCTCCAAACTGCTGCTGCAAGTAAGTTGATGTGTCGTGTTTTTAAGGGCCCCTGCATTCTACTTACAAATTAGAAGGTTATTTCAAACAAAATACCTCAGCTGCAGTTAATGGAGATGTTGCATCCTTTTAAGCATCGAAGGAAAATTACAAGGTAAGGTCAAAACGTCGGCAGAATAAAGCGAAGGGGTGTTCATATAAATAAAAGAAATATTGTTTTCTTTCGATATATTCTCGTTTAGTCCTAATACAGCGTTACTCAAGGCTCATGCAGATCTCTGACAGCGATTATTTGTGATATCTTAATGTATTCTTAATTTTTTTTTAGACAACTGGCAATACAGCCTTTGGCAAACTTAGTAATGGAGCGATACTCAGTTGAACAACGCTGAAATTGATCCAAACGTTTTATGAAATGGTCGCATAACACAATGGCTCTATTGCGTGCGCATCATTTCGTGAAACAACGAGATAAATT